TGACAAATGTGCCGTTGTGAAACCGCAGAAACAAGTTCCCTGTGTCCTCACGTTGTGTTGGCTCCCAGACATCCAGGATATCCTACAGCACTTAGGAGATTTAGGAAGGTTTGTTCTGCGTCCTCGTGTCCGGACAGATGGATCGGCTTTCGGGTGCCCATGGACTCATCACTGTTGAAAACAGTGCAGGAAGTCATGAATATCATGAATATGGTGAGTCGCGTGAGGCTATTGAATCTATTGAGATTTCTGAGAGCCAACCTGACACGTGCGTCACACCAAGCCAGAAGCGGCGCAGACCATCCTCCCCAATCTCCCCATGGGATCCATGGAGGTCTTGTTCAGCGGCCCAGTCCGATGCCGTTGTGTTATGCGCTCCCCTTGCGATCCTTGTGCGCCCCATGACCCTCATGATCACCATGCTGAGTCTGGGATGCCAGATGCTGCAGCGTCCCGTCATGCTTGCAATTGGGTTCGCAGGGCCACGCTGCCATTCTATGGATATGGACAACAGCCGGAGCTACGCGTATCGCCTGCCAGGCGCAAGGCAGATTCACCCATCTGCGTCTGGACGCCCCACCGGTCTTGCATGGAGACGCCGAAGAAAGTGGCGCAAGCTGAGCAGGAGGAATTGTCTGGGCCGACAGATTGTGTGCGCACTCCTGAGCGTGGTCATGTTCTCTCTCCTGCGCTCTCGCGTTTCTCGCCAGAGCAGGAGAAGACCTGCGCTGCTTCTCGCTTGAAGATGACGTTGGAGGGTGGGAAGGGTAAGCAAGATGTTTCTCATTCTTCTCCAATCTCTCTAGTGAGCTCTTCCTGGGATTTGGTGGATGTAATCCAGATCGAGGACTCGCAGCCGATGCAGGGATCTGCCTCTCAGGATTCCGCAGCAAGCTCCCCGTGGGACTTCCAGGAAAAGCATGATGAGACTGCGAACTCGCAGCCCATGTGATGAAATACGCAGAGATCCAACTGAGAAGTTCGCAGCCGTTGCAGTTTTGGATGCTTAGTGGTTCTCATGAGCCTGTATAGTGTCTGTAAGTTCTGTAGTGCACTGGCACAGGCCAGATGGAAATTTTGGACCCTTTCGTGGTCATTCACGGAGGGTCCTGTAGGATCCATGGACTTCATGATCTATCTGGACTTCGCCTGCAGCTGCCAAAATTGACATTGCCAATTCTAATGGTATAGTGATCTAATGCTCCTCTCGTTTCTTATGCGTTGTCTTGTTATGCCACTGGCTGGTCTGATTGCCTAGGTTGCCGGCTGGGCTTATGGTGGCTGGTCCGCCGTGTAGCCTCTACGTGTACATGTCTTGCGGCACACACAGAAGACATGAGAACATTGCTGGCGACTGCACTTTGCGCTCGGTCCGCATCTCGAATGCTATCGTACGAAACTTTGAGCCTTCGCCGGCATTACGGTAGTAATGGTTGTAATCCTGGCCACCGTGTCTAGCAGCCATGATAATGGATATAACTGCGCTTGTCCGAGGTATTCCTGCTCCGAGCTCTGGTCACGAAGCGCCAGGATGTGTGGTTCCTGATGGAACAGCCTTCATCAAGTTTGATGTATTCCACACCGGCTTTTGTGGAGGTCATCAAGTTATTAGGGCTGACCATGGTAACGACTTGGCTTGGCCTTTTTGGGCACGATCCTCTGAAGTGCACGCATCTTCTCACGACACTGCCTGGTAGACAGCCGTGCCTTGTCTTTCTATAGTTTCCAGTGGGTGTCTTAATGTCTTAGGACCCCGGAGGTCAGAGGACCCAAGACCCATTTGCGGTTATTGGGGGGGTTCTGGGGCGGGCGGGTCTGGCGGGGGTCTGGGGTCTGGGAGGTCTGGGAGGTCTGGGGGGTCTGGGCGGGGTCTGAAGCCTGGAACCAGGGGGTAAAGCACGTACAAGCTTTTGCTTTACGGTCTGGTGGGCGGGGCTGCGGAGGCGAAAAGAGCCCAACTTTCTGAGGATTGCTCGGACAATGAGCGCTGAGCTGCGCCAGAAGCATGAGGAGAAGCAGGCCCGCAAGAGAGCGCGGGACATCGCCGCGGGACGGACACCAAAGTGCTACTACAAGTGCCCTGGCTCCATATAGCATGGATGCATATTCTAGGCTTAAGGGTTCTGCGCGCTTGCACATACATGTCTGTGTGATGTGTCCCGCAGGAAAGATGCTGAAGGTCGAGTGTCCGGTGGTCCGGATTTGGCCTCCACTGCGTCCTATCCTGGGCGTTTCTGCACGGAGCTCTGGAAGATTTGGCTTCCGCACTACATGCAGGTCAAGGAGGACACCAAGAAACGAGGTCAAGCAGATGTTCTGGAACCTGATGGCCCAGGAGTTCCAGATATTCCAGGAGCTCAGGAAGAGTGTGTAGGATGTGTAGAGATTGTAGAGCAGCTCACGCACGCAGGCTCCTAAGGATGCTAAGGCGCCCCGCGTGACAATGTGGGGCATGTGCTTGAGCCAATCAAAGCTTGGCGCCGGCGATGGCAGTTGAGCCCTGCATGCTGATCCATGTGTTGTGTGCAGCGCGTAGCGCAAACACCTGAGAATCCTGAGACACGAAGAAGTGTGTCTAGGATGTTTGGGAGAGTCTGGGCGCGAGATTTCCTGGGCCTGCGTGGGGAACGGCCGAGAAATAGATTGCGTTTGCGTCAGTATCATGATCATGATTTGCGCAGCATGTCCTGAACTCGCGGATCTTGTGGTTGGATAATCTAGAATACTTAGCTGGCTGGTGTGTTCTTGGTCAGGCGGAGATCTCCTCGGTGCCACGCACTGAACCTCCTGAAGCATCTACAAGCCAAGGACCGCCGTGGCTGTTGTTTGCGCAGAGGCTTCATGTTTACAATCCAAGATATCAAGATTGCCGAAGATGAAAAGAATTTTCGAAAAGAGTTGAGGTCAGGCTTCCAAGTTTATTTTGGTGAGATTCACAGGAACCGGCAATGCATTGAGGCTTAGATCGTGGGCACCTGGCCAAAAATAAAATCCTTGTGGCCCAACCTTACCCCTGAGCCCCCCAGGAGTTTATTTCCAGGCCCGTGTTGCATTATTTTCCACACATTCCATATCATTCCATGGTGAGTATAGGAACCTAGATAAAAAATAAAATCCCTGTGGCCCAACCTTACCCCTGAGCCTTCCAGGAGTTTATTTTCAGCTGCTTGTCCATCACATCCCTAGTGTATCATAGTGATCATGGTGGAATCCCAGGGATCCTAGGGTTGCAATGAGCTAGATGCTAGGCTGTATGGGGAACCAGTAATCAAAAATAAAATCCTGAGGGCAGGGCAGAAGGGTCATGCCCGCAGGATTTTATTTGAGACACTTTGGGGGTCACGAAGTGACGACTTTGAACCTGTTTGCTTCTGCTCGTTTTCTATCCGTTGGGGCTTGTTCCTTGATTCCGCGGCCCCCAGGGGAGAATAAAATCAGGGGTCAGGCCAGCAGGATTTTAGTCCATGCATGCTGGGCTAGACCCGTATTTGGGCATAGAAACGGGTTGGGCACCTGGCCAAAAATAAAATCCCTGTGGCCCAACCTTACCCCTAAGCCTTCCAGGAGTTTATTTTCAGCTGCTTGTCCATCACATCCCTAGTGTATCATAGTGATCATGGTGGAATCCCAGGGATCCTAGGGTTGCAATGAGCTAGATGCTAGGCTGTGTGGGGAACCAGTAAGCAAAAATAAAATCCTGAGGGCAGGGCAGAAGGGTCATGCCCGCAGGATTTTATTTGAGACACTTTGCGGGTCACGAAGTGACAACTTTGAACCTGTTTGCTTCTGCTCGTTTTCTATCCGTTGGGGCTTGTTCCTTGATTCCGCGGCCCCCAGGGGAGAATAAAATCAGGGGTCAGGCCAGCAGGATTTTAGTCCATGCATGCTGGGGTACGGGTGGGCTAGACCCGTATTTGGGCATAGAAACGGGGTTGGGCACCTGGCCAAAAAAAAAATCCCTGTGGCCCAACCTTACCCCTGAGCCGCCAGGATTTTATTTCCCTTGAAACTCCCGGTCCCAGCAAGCAATTCCTGAACCTCCAAGCCAACCTCCCCTTCTTATTCAGATGTGCAGGACCGGCGGAGCACGAACTTTCGCAGCAATGGCTTCTTCGGCATGCGGATGAGATAAAAGTCGATGGTATTTTCCTTGACGTAGTTGACCTCTTCTTGCTTGCGTATATGTATTCTGCAGACTTGAGACTTATTCTGAACACTCCGGATCAGCTGAAAGTCCTGTCAGCGAGTGGGTATGCTGCTGGGATGCTCCCTGCAGGTGTGTGTATTCCAAGGCCGTCTGAGTGTAAGGCGGAGTGGGCCGTAGTCCTGACTAGGGCCGACTACGAACCTACTCCCGAACTTGCGCACATGAACCATTTCTTACCATCTTGGCCCGCTGGCTCCGTCACAGCCTGGGAAGAAATGGAGCATATCAAGCAGCAAGCTCAGGCAGTCAGGTTAGCTTTTCTGGCGAAGATCGCCGAGTCCGACAGAGATGAGGAAGTCCAGGTGTTCACTGAGCAGATGGAGATGCATCAAGTGAAGTCTCTGGCTTGTATGCAGTTGTTACAGAGACTATACGGCGACTTGCAACTCCTCAGCAGAGAGGTCCCAAGTGAGGGGAACTGCGGGTGTTGGGCGATACTGGCCCTAAGGCGTGGGTCACCCTTTACATCCCGTGTGGCTGACCAGGACACCCTCGCGAACATGCGTCAAGTACGACTGGAGCTGGCTGAACGTTGGCGAGCGCTGCTACGAGCTCAGCGCCCTCTGCCTGGCGCAGCCTATTTGCTGCTTTGATGCCGCTGGGCCGCCGTGTGAAAGCCGAGCCGGCAACAGCTTCAGCATCTTCATTAGATCCTTCAGCGTCAGGCTTGCGCGCGCCGTGTGAGTCTGAGGCGCCTGCTACGCCTCCTCCTCAGCATGACTCGAAACATCGTGTGCAGCGGTTGCTTGATGCCCACTCTCCTCCCAAGCTCTCGCGAACGGCTCGGAGGTCAATGAAGGCTGGCCTCATCTGCCCACGTCCTGAGTCAGGTCCCAGTGTCCCAGTGAAAGCAGAGCTTTCCATGCAAACCGTCAAGCAAGAGCCTATTCTGGGCGACATCACATCTTCAAGAAAACGTGCTCGGCCACAAAAATCAGTGGATCCAAGTGCTCGGGAAAAGCGGAAGGCAAAGAGTGAGCGTGAAGCGCGGTTCAAGGCCGCTCGGTTGTTCCTAGCTGGAGCTGGACTTGCCTACAACGACTACCTGCGTGAACATACTACCAAGATGCCGCTGAAGGGCGCTGCTGAATGCTCCACCGGTGGCTGGAATGCGCTTCTCGCGCAGCTTCTCAATGGAGCTCTCCCTGAGACATGCGCGAAATGCATGAGTGCGCTGACGTCCGTCCAGTTTAGCATGGAGAAGTTTCAGGCTCAGCTTACGCAGGAGATAGAGCCCGAGCCCTTGCAGGAGGCGAAACTGGAGGCGACGCAGCAGGCAGAGACTTCATGCGTCAAGCAGGAGGCGGAGGCTTTGGATGATAACCAGGCCCTCGGGTGTGTGGCTGATACGGATGCCGCTGTGGATGTCCCGACTGCTGAGGACGCAGAGGATGCGGTTGACCCAAGGCAGCTTGTGAACAACAACCCCGTGCTCGTGTTGTTGCCCCCAGGAACCCACAGCAAGAGATATCCTGTTCAGTGTCTTGCGTGCAAGCGGAAGTCGACCAATAAGTGTGCCATCTTTGACTTGATCACGATCAACCATGCTAGGTATTTGACCCAGCACATAACTGGGGCTACCCATGTGAAGAATGCCAAGAAATTCATGCAGGATTCACGCCCTGCGTCTGCTGCTGCGCCGTTGCAAGATTTGCAAGCTTTGCCAAGCAGTGATGTGAGCGCACAGCCAGATGAGGCAGAGATCCGCTGTCAAGTGGTTGCCGTGAAGCAGCTGCCTTGCGAAGGCTTCCAGCTAAACCACGCCCCGAAGAGTGCCAAGCTGGGCAGCCTGAAGGAAGAAGCGAACTTGTGGTCGGTCTACACGCCTCTTCCTTCAGTTCAAGATCTGAACGAGGGGAACCACCAGTACACACGTAACCTCAACGACAATGGCCTGGTGATCAGACACCATTCTTGTGCAGGGTCAGCGACAGTTGTGGAGGAGGATGGCAATGGAGCGCCACCGCTGTGCGGGAGATGCTCCGAGCTCGGCAGTTTAAGGAGCATTGTGCGGATGGTGTGCAAGTTCTACATCAAGCATGCTGCAGCCAGGCTGCTTGCCGCCCATTTCTTTGACCCCGACCAGGTCCCGGAAATTGCTGAGGAGATCAAGAAGAGCGGCGTCTACCAGCTCCGCACGTCCGAGCTCGACCAGCTTCTGACTTTGGAAAGAGTGCCTCTCCAGAACTTTGTCCGCACGCAGTTCCTTTCCCTACCCTCTTCGAAATGGAGTCCCATGCTGAGGGATTTCATAGCGTCTGTGGTGCAGCCCTGCTGCAAGGTGCCGGCTTCCACTTGGGACGGGCGTGTGGCCAACGCTAACAGCTCTGTTCGCGTGCTTGCCGAGAAGATGAAGCACGGCAGCCTGGCTACAGTCGCAGACCTTGACCTCAAGCTTGCTTGCCACGTGGCATCAGGAGCTCTACACAATCACCCGGTTGTCCAAGGCATCCTAGTGGCGGCCATTGAGCAAGCCCAACGTGCCAAGCGGGGCGTAAGTGGATTCAGGGGGCATCAGCTCTCCTCGCTCGAGCTGTCATTCATGGCTGAGGCTGGGGTCAGCTTGGCCATGGCGGCCTCTAACATGGACCTTGTTCACCAATTCGGTCTTGCGTTCACGGTTCCACGACTTCCGCTGGATAACTTACACGCTCGCAATCTGCCGGAGCCGTTCATTGCCCAGTCCAACGTGGAGGTGCTGGAACAAAATCTGCTCCTTATCAGCAATCACCTCACGTCACAGCGCAACAGCGCATCAGCTCATCCAGGTCCACTTCGGCGTTTCGTCATGGTGACAAGACGTATCTCCTGAAGGGACTGGACATCGTTCGCCTCCGGCAGGGACGCGGATATGTCGGGACCGCGTACCGCCCGAACAGGCAGCAAGGGCTTTCTCCCCTTGAAGTCCCCTGAGGTGAGCTGTTGCCTAAACTTTTAGGATTTTTAGTGGTTATTAAGGGATTTGAGGGGGATACTTAGTTTAGACTAACTCAGGTGGTGCCTGATGCTCAGCGTGGTGCACAACAGGAGATGCAGGAGGAACGCAGCCAGTCTCCCCTGACATGGGATGCGGCAGACCTGGTTTACGCCATGGAGATCTGCGAATTCTTGGTTTGGGATGCCGGCCTCAAAAGCCTTCCAAGGTTCTCAGCCTGCTGCGTCCCAACTCCACAGGACAGCACTGCACTGGACATGCTTCGTTTGGTCGGCAGCGTGCTTCAGGGTGCCCATCAGATCAAAACACTGGCATTCGACAATGCCACGCAGCATGTGCTTGTGAAAGCCTTTTTGCTTGGCCAGCCCACTGGACTCACTGCTGAGGAGATTCGCCGACTTCCATTTTGGAATCGAGTGACTTACTGTCCCCTTCCACCGTGTTCGCTTCCCAGGTTGCCGTTCAAGAAGCCCGTAGTGGATGGCCAGGTGTTGTTTGCCTTAAACGGCCCGGCTCATTTGCAAAAAATTTTTGCAAGCCAGCTCCGCAGTCCCTCGAGAACCATCTACTATGGACGTTTTTTTGCGACGGGAACTCTTGACCTCTCCTGTCCACCTGGAGCATTTGTTGGCTATGATGGCCAATCGGACGCTGAAGCTGCAAGCTTGCTGAATGCCTTCCATTACGTAGTTACTGTGGTCTCAGATGTTCATGAAGTCCGAGTGCCGTGGGCATTGCTTGGCTCCATGCTGCTCAACTTGACAGCGTGCCTCACCACCAGCTCTGTGTTCCACCCAGGCCTGTAGCATCAGTCTGCAGTCTTGATACTTTTGATCTTTTAGGATTTTTAGGTAATTACAGATGTGAGAGTATTGAGAGTCTAAACCCTAAACCCTGAACCCTAAACCCTAAACATCCCTAAGCAATCTGAGCAGGTCTCACGCCAGCGCAACGCGTGGAGAACTCCTTGACGAGTTTCATCCTCTTTGACCTGGGTGGGATGGAGGCGGACACCAGATGCAAGAAGCTCAATCTCCCGAAAGGCAGTGGTTGGGTCCACAAAACCACGCAGGCGAACATGCAACAATTGGTTGGGATGATCGTGGTGGCATGCACGAGCCCATCCCCCGACTGCCCTTGGCTTCCGTGGAGATCTTCTGAGTTGCCTCTTGAGCAATGGTTCGGCTACCTCCGCGGGCAGTTTGCGTCGTCCCAGATGACTGTCAGAGACTTTTTGTACGCTGGGAGCCGAAAGATGAATGAGACTGCTTGCCGATTGGCCAAGCAGCCAGCGCAGCAGCTTCCGCAGACGCCCGCAGGGGCTGTGTCGGATGCCGAGTTTGCCGCTTGCGCTGATCGGGCGCTGAGTGCGGCGCTGGAGCTGATGGCTTGCTGCTCGGGTGTAACCACTCAAAACTTGCTCGACAGGTACGTGGTATACTGTGGGACGCTGGTCAAGGAAACGTTGATCGAAAATGCGGCTCAGGACTTCGGAGGAGAGGTTGAGCCAGATGATGAGGTAGTGGAGGATTTCATGTTGGATGACGAGATGGAAGCGCCGCTCATCCATAAGGCAGGTGCCAGCGAGTCCAAACACAGAAACACACCCATAAACAATGTCCCCCGAAACCTTCAGCCGTAAATCCCACACACCCTAGACGCCCTACACTACGCCATCTGTTTCTAGTGTATCTAATGTGATTGTGCCCTACACAATCTACACATCATATCCATCTAATGTGCTGCTGGCAGGACAACAGCTGCAGGGTCTCTGAAGCGGCGGCCGAGCATGCCGAGCTTGATGCGGAGCTTGTGGGGGCTGATGCTGAGTGCTTCGAACTGCTTGGCCAGCTGCGCTCCAGGCAGATTGCGGACGGGGTGGAGGAGCTGCCGCCCATGGATGAGCGGGATGCTCAACGTCTGGGCTGTGGAGAGCGGCCTCCGCCAAAGGTCCTGGATCAAGCAGCGTGGACAGAGTTGCAGACGTCCGGGAAGGGAGAGGATGGCGACCAGCTGACCAAATCCACGGATGGACATGTGCTGACGCTGGCGGCTGCGCTTCAGCATGCCCGTGTGGGAGATGGCAAAATGCAGAGTATCGAGCCCGCTGTGCCCTGGCTTTGGATGTTGCTGGTGACGTTGCGCTCGGCAGCAGATGCGCACATACTGCCTGATCCTGCGCGTAGCCGCCGTGCGCGGGGCGGGCTCAACTGGCATCAAGCTTGTGAGCGCGAGCTGGCAATCTTGCGTCAGCAGGTCGGCGCGCCCAGCAAGCGCACAAGCCGTGCAGCGGCTTGGCGGGCAATGAGTGCCAGCCTCAGGCAGAAATGCCCAAACACAGACGCAGCCAACCCGTCCGAGATGGCTCCAGGCATCATTCTGTTGGTTGTGCCTCTGCATACTCAGCAGTGGTGTGTCGCTTGTGTATTGACCGTCTTCCGCAAGACTCCGCGTGGCGCTAAGCAGACACACTTGAGCACCCCGTTGGATGCGGTCAAGTGCCTGAGGGTGGCCATCATGGAGCCAGTGAAGGGTGAGGTCGATGGAACATTCCAAGCCAACGCCTACAGCTTTGCAGTTGTGATTCCTGCCCACCGTGCGGTGCTCGTGCTGCAAACGGAGGTTCTCACCCCTGGGCAGGATGGGATGCGCTGTCAGCTGACTGCTCCCAGCATGGAGATCCTCAAGTGCGGCGTGGAGGCCACTTCATGGTCAGATGCTGCAGAACGCCCAGAAGTTCAAGAAAGTGCCGAAGGAAAGCAGGGTCCAGGCAAGCGTGGGGGGGACAAGATCCAGGCACAGGTCCAGAAGGGCTATGCTCGACACCTAGCGTTGAAAGCCAAAGCGGCTCCAAAGGAGATACCAGTAAGCTGACTGCAATATTATGATACCATGCTTGTTTGTTTGCATCATCTTTTAGTAAAGGATGTAAAGGATTCCAATACTAAAATTTTCCATTACCCTGAATCTTTGGCCCTGTTGTTTCTCTCATTTCTCACCGTCGCTTCCCACACAAGGCTTTGGCGTGCAATTTTGGCCGTACGAAGCAGGGAGAGAAGTTGATCCAACAGGAGATGCAGAAGCTTCTCGAGCTTGACGCTTTGCATCATCCTTCTCGCCCATTGCTGACTCCAGAAGGTTGCTTGCGGCTGAAAGGCGGCAAAATCGGCCCGACCTGGAGCGACGTGGTTGCTCGAGCTGCCAACTTCATCAGTCAGAAGTTCAGATCAGTGCGATCCCGCGATGAATACGGCAGGGCTGTACACAGCCTCTTCGTCAAGATCACTGCCCAGATGAATGGGGACCAGCACTTGCGCTCGGATGCTTGGATTCCACTGTTTGATAGGTAAACTTATTAATTACTACTAATTCCCGATATAATCTTGATAGTTTTATGTTATACTTTTTCTATTTTATGCTATACTGTTTCGTGCCCTATGCCAAGGAGTTTCTCAGCCTACTCTACGACATAGTAGACGGTACGACCGGCACGGTCGCACAGGCGGCCTCTGGAAAGCATGCCTAGTGGCATGTACATGTACAGAGACAGGAGGATCTTGCCCCCGGGGGACGTGGGCACACGACGCTATGGATCCGAAAAATGTGGGTTCAGCAACTTTACCGCTGCTGTGTTGCTTCCCCGTTTGCTGCGTACCTCCAATGCTAACTCCTCTCGTCATCAAGCGTTTAACCCCAGAAATATTCTGGTCACATGGGTAGATGTCTGGGTCATGCCCCAAGGATTTTATTTGACCCGCTTCCAAATATTATGTTGGCCATCTGGGTCTACTTAGGGGTCAAGCCCACAGGATTTTATTACGGGTTCCCGGTCCATGTCAATGAGCCATGAACACTTAAATGTACTGATCCATAGGGGCTCAACCCCTTAGACACATTCTCATGTTTGAGCCTCATGCCCGAGGATTTTATCCAAGTAAAATCCTGGGCACAACCCCCCCAAGAGCCTCCAACCCCTATCTTAATGTGGAGTCTGCCAGGCCAACGCGCTGCACACGCGCCTCCTCGTCCCCAACCTGATTGGTGGGACCTTGACTGGTACGATGCTATGCTTCGAGAAATGCAGCTCTCTGACATTGGCGGCGCCAACGCGCCCCAGCTGCCCGAGCAGCCCGTCGTGTCAAGAGGCTTCAATTCCATCATGTAATACGGGTTTTGGAACACGTGGCTCCATGCGCAGGAGCGCTTGGCACATTATAACATGCGTGTTGCCGCGCAAAACATTTGCCAGCAAAGGGGGTTGGGCAACGCACGCTACCAAGCGTGATGCGTTCCCCCAAGTCAAGTGCTGGGCATGTGGAAGGCCCATCATGTCTGAATTCGTGGATGTGCCGCGCAGCTGCATCGAATCCCTCGGGCCCTTCAATGCCGGTGTTGCCGGATGTTGTTGTTACAACATAACAGCTGCGGGTGTTGATGCCCGTCACCCTCGATAATTTGGATTTCCCGTTTCGTGAGGCTGAGCTTTTTTCAAGTGTTCAGTGAGCTTCCAAACGGTCATTCCCCGGTCTGGACGGCGTGCCTTATGAAGCACTGCGCGTCGATGATGCGTGTTTCCGTTCATGCCTCTTAGTTTTTTTGGACTCGGACGGTCATGGTGGATCGTCCTTACTGTGTGGCTCTCCGCTGTGGTTGCGCCTCTTCACAAAAGTGGCGCTGCAGACCAATTCGCAAATTTATTGCCGCTGCCACTCGCGCCTGAACATTTCCAGGGCCGAAGTGGTCGAAGCAGCGCGCAAACTGAAGCGGGGTAAGGCATGTGGCCAAGATGGGTTGCCGCCAGAATTTTGGAAATGCATTTGCAAAGTTGATTCCCCAGCTTGTGTATGGGCAGTGGCATTGTGCAACAAAGTAAGGAACCATGAGGATGTTCCCACTGACTGGCGCAAAGAGCTGATCACAATAAAAGGGATGCAACCAGCTGTGAGAATTACAGGCCCATCTCACTGCTTGCTGTTGGGTATAAGCTATTTGCTGCGATCTTTTTGCGGCGTTTGATTAGTGGAGGGGCCGAGTCAAGAATTTGGCACACTCAATTCGGGTTTCGTTCGGGAAGGCACTGCTGATGCAGTATTTGTTGCTCGCCGGTTCCTCGATCACGCGGTGTAAGGACGATCAGCTGGTATTCTTGGCTCTGGACTGGTCGAAGGCATTTGACAGTGTAGATCCCGAACGATTGTGCCATGCCCTCATTCGTTTTGGTATTCTGCAAAAATTCTGCGATGCCGTTGGTGCAGTTTACAAGGACCAACAGTTCACCGTCCGTGATTCCGGCCACATTTCAAGCATCCACCGACAACATTTCGGCATTTCGCAAGGGTGCCGTTTTTGTTCTCAATTTTGATGACGGTGTTGTTGTTTGATGCCTCTGCAGAGCTGCATTTGCGTTTGCCGCGTTCTAGCTCGGACATCGCCGTTGACGAACTTGTGTATGCTGACGACACTATGGTTGTTGCTGTTGATGCGTCTCGGGCTGAGACCTACATGACATCGCCAGTGCAGGGATGGACTATGGCTTGTGTTTCAATTGGCACAAGATCGAGGCATTGCCTATTCGCTGCAACTTTCGCGTGCTCAAACCCGATGGTTGTCCGATCCACGATTTGCCAGGGGAGTCTGCTGGACGGATCTGGCGATATAGGATCAGAACTCAATGGCCGACTGGGTTCTGCAAGGGCGGCCTTCAAAACACTCACCCAGGTATGGAAGCTCACTCGCATTTCGCGACAACACAAGGTTCGCATTTTCGAGGCTTGCGTTGGTTCCCAACTCCTGAATTGCTGCATACAGCTTAGCTGAACAAAGCGGCACTTCGAAAACTGGATGGCTTTCAAGCTCGGTGCTTGAGAAAATTTCTCGGCGTCCCGCACGCATACGTGAGCCGCATTTGTAATCTGGAGGTCCTTGGGTTGGCAGCTTGTAAGTCATATTCCAAAATTTTGCTGTACAGGCAATTGCAACTGATTCATCGGATTGCTTTGTTCCCCTCCACAGACGTCATGAGAACATGTGTTTTCGAGGAGGGTTCTTCCTCACCTAGGGGTCACGACAAACCGAGATGTAAGGGCCGACCCAAACAGTTCTGGGCTTCTCAAGTTTATCAGCTGGCTGTACAGGTGGCTGGTAGCATTGAAGGGTTGGCGTACTCGCCCGCAAAGTCGGTCCACTCGAGCGGGCCGCAGCTTGCACCTGCCGCGAAGCAAGGGCACGGGTGGCCACGAACGTCGCCCTTCGGGATCTTAATCTCGATGCGCCCGCTGCTGACGGCTGCCGTGTTGAGCCCAACTCGCGGTTGACACCACAATTGTCAGCCCCTTGCGGACGGGGAGCCCCGACCAGAGGCTGATGCGGAGCCAGGCGTCGCCTTGAACCAGGCCCTCGACCGGAAGCACCGAACCTACACGGAGCTCCAATGTGCGCGACGGTGCAAACTGAGCGTCTTCGGGGTTGAGGTCGGGGGTCGCTTCGGTCGGGGGACACTGACGTTCCTGCAGCGTTTTGGCAAGGGCGCGAGCGCGGCAACGGCCGCCGTGGTGCATGGCAGGGGCGCAGCAAGCGTTGGTCCGCAGATGCACCCCCCCCACCTCGCTCCTGGCGTTGCGCGCGTACGCGTGCTCCTTGTTCGATCTGCCAGCCGCAGATCTGCCTGGTTCCTTAAAACAAGGTAACACGGCCTTGAATGACCCCTAGTAATTCCCTCATCAGGAGAGAGCATTTTACAGAGATTTCATAGCGAAATCGCGTTTTCGTGTGGGTTTTGGGTACATGACTGCGACAGGCCTACATTTCGCGATTGCCAAAAACCCCAGAAAGGTCTCCACTTTTCAGCGTTCCGATGCACGAAATGCTGCGCTGGCTGGGACAAAACGGACACGGCAGGCCGTAACGTTTTTAAAAAAAGTTGTAAAGTGAAGAAAACCCTGCGCACACTGGGGTATTATGCGATGAGTTGGGGGGCCTAGGCAACCGTAACGTTCAACGCAAAAAGTTCTAAAGTGAAGAAAACCTTGCGCCTAGTGGGTTATTCTGATTATGGTTTGGGCATGGATGCTTTGGTCATCGTATGCTCTGGGAACATGAACGAAATTATGGTGTGGGCATGGATGGGAACATGAACGAGATTACCATGGGCATGGATGCTCTGGTCATCGTAGGCTCTGGGAACATGAACGAAATTATGGTGTGGGCATGGATGCTCTGGTCATCGTATGCTCTGGGACCACAAACGAGATTATGGTTTGGGCATGGATGCTTTGGTCATCGTATGCTCTGGGAACACGAACGAGATTATGGGTTGGGCATGGATGCTCTGGTCATCGTATGCTCTGGGAATATGAACGAGATTACCATGGGCATGGATGCTCTGGTCATCGTAGGCTCTGGGAACATGAACGAGATTATGGTGTGGGCATGGATGCTCTGGTCATCGTATGCTCTGGGAACACAAACGAGATTATGGTTTGAGCATGGATGCTCTGGTCATCGTAGGCTCTGGGAACACGAACGAGATTCAGGTTTGGGCATGGATGCTCTGGTCATCGTAGGCTCTGGGAACGTTTCGTCGTATGCTCTGGGAACCCCCGGATGTAGGAAATGCTGCGCTGGCTGCGCCNNCTGTTGAACAGTCTGGAACTTGAAGAAAAACCTGAGCACTGTGGTATATTCTGTGAGGACTCACACAGCCTCCTTTGCTGGTACCCAAGGACAGAATGTGCGGTTCGTCAGGGGTCGCCTAAAACAAGGAACCCTTTGATGGCCAAGAGCCGCCGTTGGGCGACCTCTCGGCACGGGGCCTTGGCTGGCTGCTGCGCTGACGGGGTGTTGTA